CCGATACCCCCTAAAGGAAAAAGTGAATTATGGTCCATTAAATTCGTTTAAGTTATGAGCATTAAATTACAAGGTGTAAGCATATGATATTTGGCTTAAAATTTATATTTATGTAGATATTGAGCCTAAAGCAGTTCTGGAACATTTAGGAAGGAAGAACGATCGAGGGAAAAGCAAAGAGATCTAGGTGAGTGCATGTGCATAGCATGATTATAATAGTATATTACAACTTTAGACTTGTGATAAGTCTAAATTCAATACATTAATACATGATTCATTCCATATTATGTTACATGATATGAATTTATACCATATGCATTATATGACATGTTTTAAAGGAATATACATGAAAGGTTACATGAGCTATGCGATAAAGGTAATAAATTATATGTCTATGAGCTATACTATGTGAATTATGAAAAGCCCATGTTATGTAGATGAGAACTGTAGGTATAGTTGGAATGCCAAGAGTAGAGGGTCTACGCGGTCTTTCGGGACATATATGTATTTTTTGGAACATGTGTGAGGTCTTTAAAGACACATACTTGATCCTTGGCATATGTATATGATTCTTAAGGAATTTCTATGTGGTCCTTAGGGACATCTTATATGGCACTTTGGTGCATTTCTACGCGGCACTTCGGTGCAAATCTATGTGGCACTTCGGTGCATTTATATGAGCTGTGGTGACAGCATAGTTCATAACCTCACTATACTCATATACCTTAGGTTCTTAGCATGGTATCATGGGCTAGTGAACTTATTAATATGAACTCATGAATGTTAATTTGACAAGCTTATGGGTAAGAAACAGGGTTATGTAAATTGCATTGATTAAATACGTGATTTCATTACATTTCATATCATTTTGGCATTATCATTATATTTCATTGTTATTATTATTATGCCTCACTAAGTTGACGATTTAGCGTGTGAGTGTTTCACACGTAGGATCCTAGAAAGTAAATAAGCAATGTTAAGAAGCTGGGACAACATTACTCCTGCAACTATTAGATCGGAAGCAACTTAAGCAATAGGTCATTTTGTTATGTAAATAAATGTTGGCATGTAATCAGATGGTTAAGTTGTGTATGCTCTGAACATTTTGGTAAACTTTGTATAAACATATGTATATTATCATATTTTAATAATATAAGTCCAAATGTTTTGTTATTTTGTTAAGAATATAGTTTTAAAAAGTCAATGTGACATCTCGAACTCGTATCCGGGTCGGGTACCGGTACGGGTTGGGGGTGTTACAGAGAGCTTTCAACGTTTTTGTTTAATTTGGCAAAACAAATGAAGACGACTTTGCACTAATTTATATAAATATCATGTGAAGAATTCTTGATGTTTTGATAGGATATCTTATTTTGTCAGAGTTACTATTAGTGTAAATTAAATATTTGGTTAACAAAATAAGAAACTATAAAATATGCAACATGAAATCTATTCTGAGTATTAAAAACTTGATTAAAAGGGTCTTCGAATAGGTATATTTCCTTTCAGTATAATTGTCGACACTTTACTCATTGGTTGATTAATTTGGATTAGATACTACATATGCTTATTATGAGAAAGACACTTTCAACCTAATTTGCATAATTTTGAAATTGATGGAGACATGAGAAATTTTTGAATTGAAAAAAAAGTGGACCATATTTTAATTTGCTTAGTTTTAAAACTAAAAGGTACCTAAACAAATAATTTGACATGAAAGTTGGGGAATTAAGGGCTAAATTTCCTTCTTTCAAAATTAAGAGAACTTAAAAAGAAAATAAACTAAAAACAATTATGAGAGACAAGTTTGCCCAACATAGTGAGCCATGTAATGAGTTGGAACTATTAGGGGAAACCTAAAGTGCCACTAAAACTTAGCCTTTCTAGATATTATATATAATATTCATCTGAAGCCTGAAGGGTTTTGACCAAAAGTGACTCTGGTTGTGTATATCGAAGGACGTAAAATTTTATGTTAGGAAACAAAGAAGAGCCAAGTAAAAGTGCTCTCTCTTGTGAATTGTCAGTTGGTTCTATATGAAGTTGTAGCGCACCAGATGAGGGTTTGTATTCATAAAAGGATTATTTAACCCTGTTGAATTGAGCATATATACATAGTGTAGTTAAATATTTTTCACTGTCCTGGTAACATTGCCATTGCTTACATATTGTTATCAATTGTAGACTTGTAGTTAGCTGCTCTACCAACAATTGGGTGACACCGTGGAGAAATTGGATATTTTATCAACATTGGCTGAGGTTGCACTGGAAAGAGGTCAATAAATGATTACTTATAATTGTTTTGATTCATGCGCTTGTTGGGGTTTGGTGGGGGGAATGATGAACCTTCTTGAATTGACAGTCTTTTTCTTGAAGCATCTTATTTCACCTAAATTTTCAATTTTCTTTATGTTATGCTTCTTTAGAGGATATTGAATCTTCACTTGGTGACTACTAGAAAACTCTCTCCATTTTGCAATGGCTAGTTGAACCCGATAACTGACAAATAGCCAAACTGTATCTTTGATATATTTGAAATTTTGTTATTATATAGCTTGTTATTCTTTATGCGATTTGTAATACTCAATCCAGGTTTAATTAAATAACATTCTATTTTGGTTGGTCTGTGTATGCTAGTCAAAATAGAACTGTGAATCCCCCAATTTTGGTCTTCAATTTCATTCAGGTTCTATTTTTGCTACTTAACCCAATAATTTAGAAATTTTTTAATATGTATGTGTTTGGATATTGTAACAAACCTTTAGAAGCAATTCCATTATGTCAGAAGGCCATCTCTGTTTGCAAGGGTCGGCTGCAACGGCTTAGAGATGAAGTAAGAATTGCTCAGGTCGAGCATCATATTCAGCTGCATCTAAATTATGATGGTGTACCACATAGTCCACCATCTTAGGTGTTATTATTGTTTATTCTAGTTAACAATGTTGAACTACATTATATTTTACGTTAATGTAAACTTTGATTTATTATTATGGATTTCAAGTTTGTTGTCATGGATTTCAAGTTTGTTATTATGGATGTCAAGTTTATTGGATAATGCTACATGTTAAAATTTTAAATTTGGGTAACAAAATAGTAGAAAACAACATTTAAAAATTAGTTTTAATTCGCGATGTTTGTATAAAAAAAGGCCACTAAATACATAGTCAAATTGGCGTTTTTCAGTTCTAGATCTTTTGCGGTGTTTATACAGAAAATGCCACTATATACGTAGTCAATAGCGACGTTTTACATTCACAAACTCCATTATATGATATAATATTTAGCGACGTTTTTGAGACAAAACTCCACAAAAGAAAAGATAAATAGCGACGTTTGGAGAAAACGCCGGTAAATATCATAACCTTTAGCGTCGTTTGTGAACGAAAAACGCCGCTACCTTTTGCGGCGTTTGTTTCAGTTTATTTTTGGGCTACAAAGCTTTTTAGCGGCGCTTAAAAACGTCGCTATATGACTAAAAAACGCCGCTAGAAACTTGTTTTTGCAGAAAATATATATCTTATATTATTTGATATTAATTTACTTTTAAACAACTTCACCACCCAATGTTTCTAAGTTATGGATGTTTTTATTTCGTTTTCAAACCCTCCCAAAGGTGCGCCTATTTGGCTGACGAGCGGCTTATGAAACATTTTTTATGGGTGTTCGGTTGTCCCGTACAAGGATTTTCTATGATTGATGTTTTTGTGGTTTGAAAACCGAGACTGTGCTTCATGCCTTGCGCTACTATTTAAGTGTGCAACTTATCTTTACGACTGTTGGTTTTACATGTCTATTATACTCTTCTCCACAGGCCTCATTCGGTGCATGGTTAGAGCTTTTAATGCTTTCTGATTTTGCCAATCGTTTACTGGAGGTGTTATTATCGCTTTGGAATCTTTGGAATCAATGCAATGTGTTCGTTAATGAAAGAAGACTGATCTCGGGTTGGTAACTTATTGCACCAGGTTCCAAATGATGTGGGGGTTCTTGGGTCTCATGCCATATGCTTTGGCATTCGATTGCTTTGATTTTCTATAAGCTCAAATCGTAATAGAGAGTGACTCACCAAATGTTCTTCAACAACTCAACAACTTTGACGTTGATCTTTCGGTATTATGATTCATTCTTGCTGAAGCTCGGAAATTTTTAGACATGCCTCCGACCATTCGAACTCAACATATACGCCGATCTACAAATGGTGCGGCAAATGCTTTAGCATGAAGTGCCTCAACAATGTCAACTATCTTAGCTTTTGATTCTGATTATTCTTCTTGTATTATTGACATTGTAATAACAGATGCTATTTACTGTTAGTGAATACCATATTATCTTAAAAAAAAAAAAACCTTTTTAAACAAATTTGATATTAAATTAAATATCAATAATTATATTTAAAAATTAGTCTATAGAATCTGAGGCTTCAAAAATAAATCTCTGGAACATGATGTTTAAGAGTATGCAATTGCTTTACAATGTTTGTCATGAATAAGAAAATATTAATTCCAATCTTGAGAGAGTTACATTTACATTTGTATGATTTATTAAATATTTTTTTAAATAAGTTTCTGAAAATATAATAATAAGTTTTTAAAATATACTTATTAAATAAAAAATTTATGTATTTTAATTTTTTAACAAATATTAGTGATAATGAATATTTAGATTATATGTTTAATATTAGTAATTTAATCAATAATTTTCAGGGGTTATTTAATAATTATAAGTTTAATTAGCATTTTTAATAATCTTTATTGTGTTTTTTTATTAATAATAATATTTATTGTTAAATAAACACTTTGATTGAAAATTTATAAAAAAAATGATTTTCATCAATTATATAAATTTAGGTTTATTATTTAATAAATACCCCAATAATATTACTCGTTTAAATATTCTTGAAGACTAAAATGATCCCTTCAACCTGTATAAATTTAGATTTATATCAGCGTAGTTGACAAATAATCAGATTGTTGGATCTACACGAACCGGTGTTATAGCTCGGGCCCAATCGCCTGTTCTCCGCCTCGTTGTTACAAAAATTTACTTCGACACACCGACCAGTGAAGAACCCGCCAAAAAGAAAAGCGAAAAAAGGAAGGAAAATAGCCGACTTCACCTGAACGAGACTGGTGGGCAGTAGCAAAGCCGAGAACGCTATCGCAGTACTGTATTTTTATTAACTGAAATCAATTCTTCATTTCGTAATCTAATCTTTCCCCCAAATTCTAAAACCCTAGAATCCTTTTTTCATTTATTCTGGTACGGTAAACCATAATGTCGTCCGATTCTAGCCCATCTTTCCCTATCTCCGATGGCTTCGCTGACCTTGATTCTGATTCCCAACTGGTCCATAAACGGTTTGATTTGTTGACATTGAATGAACCGGCCGAATTAGAGCGTAATCGTCCTGGAAACGGGAATGAAATCGCCGATGGATCGTTGAGTCCGGAGAGAAACAACGACGTCGCTGAAGATGAAGATCGATTACGAGTGGGGGATCAAGAGATTTTTGGCGAAGAAGGGCTTTCAAGTCCCAGCAGCAGTGGATATACTGGTGGGAGAGGGAGTAGCAGCGTCACGAGCCCGTCGAGGATTGGTGAAACGAGTGAAATTGATGATAACGAGATTCAAGAACTGAGGAACGATGGTTCCCTTGGAGGAATCTACGGTTCTCAGGCCTCCTGGGTTCCTGGTAAACGTCACCTCGATGAGGTTAGCCATTTCATTTATTTTTCCATTGTTAATATAGAGAAAACATTTTTGTTTTGTTTGTTCTTATCCCAACTCATCAATCGATGTTGTATATGTAAATAAACTGAATTCTAGAATCGGGAACGTGTGTGAAGTTTTTGACTATCCAGTAACAATTTCACTGTTTGATTGTTAGTAACATTTGCCTTCCATTGGCATCACTCATTTGAAAAGGAAAATAAAGTTATTTTAAAGAATCCTTGGCATATTGTATCGTGTTTGATTTATAAGTACAGGATGATGCTTCAATATCTTGGAGAAAGAGGAAGAAGCACTTCTTTATTTTGAGTAATTCTGGCAAACCAATATATTCCAGGTTAGTCACTAGTTCCTAAAATGCCGGCATTAGAAGGTGCATAATCTTTGGAGTTCAATATGAACTAATTCCTAATAAATCCTATTTTAATATCTTTTGTATATTTGACTTCCAGATATGGAGACGAGCACAAGCTAGCAGGTTTTACAGCAACACTACAAGCCATTATTTCCTTTGTGGAGAATGGGTACTTGGAGTTGGCTGCATCTCCCTTAGTTTTTAGTAGTGATTCTCGGTTTATCAAGTGCAGTTATTTGGGCTACTTTCTTTTTTTTTTAGTCTTCGAAGAAATTTTAATATTTCATTCATTGCTTTTCAGGGGAGATCATGTCAAATCGGTCAAGGCTGGAAACCACCAGGTATTGTTATATTTGGCTATTTGCTATTTCTCTATATGAATTTTATCTATTTTTTTTAATTCTTTTGCTCAATAATCAATTTTTTTTTTCTTTTGCATTTAAACTAGTCATTGGTCTTTTAAGTAGACCTTTGAATTTTCTTCGACATACTAACTGCTCTGGAAAGAAACGTTGAGAAGCTGCAATTTAATTTGTTTGAAAATTAAGCTAATTATTTTAGTTCAATTAGATGTAGTGGAATCTTGATCTTGGAAATAACTATTGTTATATTCGAAAAGGCATGTTACTGCCAATTAATTATTTTTTAGATAAAAGTGAATGATGTGATAGCAGAATGTTTGATACTAGTTTAAAATAGGCATGCTTGCATGAAAAGTTTTGCGATTGACCGCATCAATGAAGCTCAGCTTCTCATAATTGCCACTGTTTCTTATTACTTTTAACTCTTATAGGACCCGTCTTATATTTTTTATCAATTGAATAAGATATGCAATGACATTTTTGTTTGTTTAGGTGGTTTTTCTTGTGAAGGGACCGATATATTTAGTTTGCATCAGTTGCACAGAAGAACCCCTTGAATCATTAAAAGGACAATTAGAGCTTATTTACGCTCAGGTATCTATTGTCTCCCTTGCAATTCTCTACTTCTGGATAGATGAATTTGGTTTCTACTGCCTATTCAAGCCTTGCAAATTTCCCTTGATCATTTTATTCTGCCATTACATTTTTTGCTTATGTACACCCAAAAGTACTCCTACTGACCCTTTTGCTTGGTTGTGAAATGGTTGCAGCTGATACTACCCTGAAAATGCCAACAACATAAAAATTAGCCTATTCCAGCCTTTGCTAAAGCATCAACGTCCATATTAGCTGTTCTAGCAACCCATTTAAGAACCCCCCCAAAAAACTTAGATTATCAACTATATCTCTAACAACGAATGCATATACAGCTGGGCATGAATCGACATTGTTGATCCAGTCTACTGCAACCCTGTTATCACTCTCAACAATCAGCCTATCTTTAACCCTCCCTTGATAAGAATCAAAGAAGGAAATACCCCTTTGAATAGCTTTAAGTTCCATCATAGTCGGAGGTCCTGGACCAGCAGACTCTTGAAAAGAACCTAGGACTGTACCTGAATGATCCCTCCAAATACCTCCAAGACCAGATTTCTTCCAATCACTGCTAATGGCTGCATCCACATTCAATTTGAAGAAACCATTTGGGGGAGGTACCCAAGGGATTGTAGAAAACTTCAAGAAACTGTAGGGCGAGTAGGAATCTGCTAATGAAGGATCAGTAATCAAAGAATCCTTATGAATAGAAACCTCCTTATGCTTAGCTAGGAACCAAGAAGTCAGCCTAACTCTTGATAACAAAAATAATTCTATCTGATCAAGCTTTCCCCCTTCAAAAACAATAAGATTTCTAGTTTTCCAAATGGTCCAAATAACAGCCCCAGGAATGAAAGCCTAAATAGAAGAATTAGATTTCAACTCTTCCCAAGCTAGCAGAAAGATTTTTGGATCTGCAGGAAACACAGAACTGAACCTCCAAAAGTTTAAAAATTTGTTCCACAAAGACTATGCAACCGAACAAGTAAAAAATAAATGCGTGGAAGTTTCCTCAACCAATTTACAAAGAGGGAATAGATCATCCTCAATACCTTGAACACCTCTTTTAACCAATTCGGTTTTAACAACTAACTTACAAAGCACAACCTGCCACATTAAAGATTCAACTCTAGGGGTACCAAACCTCTCCAAATAATATTATTCCAGAAACGAACTCCATCTGAGCCTGTTGCACAACTTTTAATACAAGAACTGACTGAAAAAACACCATCCCCACTGCGTTTCCAAAGCAATATATCACTAGAATCTTTAGACAAAGAATAGGGAGAAATGATGCTCACCAAGTTGCACCATTGTACAATTTCCCAATCATTTAAATTTCTTCTAACTTGAACATCCCAAACCCATCCAGATGGAAGAAAATCTCCAAACTCACAGTTTTCCATGTCTATTAGTAGAAACCGAAAACATTCTAGGGAAGAGAAATTGAAGCGAATAGTCTGCAGCCCAACTATCTTGCCAAAAACGAATAAGCTTAGCATTTCCCACATGAAAACCACACAAACTGCGAAACTTAGAACCAAAGAAATCTTGCTTGCAATGGTTGTTAACCACCGATCTCCAAAGCCATGAAGATTGAGGAGAGTCTGGGAGTTTTATTGCATATCTAATGATTTTGGATCTCTCTTCTCCTCACCCTCCCCTAACTCCCTGTTTCTGCTTTCTTGCTTGCCCTTGAAAATAAAACTATTGAGTTTTTTTTACTTGTTTTGTGTCAATTGTGAGATTTTTGGTTTTGGTTCTTCAGCAGTTTGTCACATGTAGCCCTGGTTGAAAGTATTGGTTCTAAATTCAGAACAGGGATAATATGTGTTTGTGTGTTTTTTTTTTACATTTTTGTTACTTCTATTGATAAGGTGGGAATTACAATACAATATTCATCCTCTTTCATATTCTAACTGAAGGGTACCTCCTAAATGTTTTGTCCCTTCTTTCAGGAACCCAGCTACGTTTCTTCATGCATACACTTGTCTGCCACTTGCTTATGCAACAAGGCAAACTGCAGGCGCTATATTGCAAGATGTTGCTGATTCTGGGGTTCTTTTTGCAATACTGATGTGTAAACACAAGGTAAAACTCCCTTATCCCCTTTTCACTTCGTTTGCTCTGGAAGTACAAAAAATTGTTTCTGTCATTGCTACTCTGGTTTACCTCCATAAAATAATATTTTTCCTGTTCGGAGTATTTTAATAACCTGAAGGTCCATGTCAGGTTATCAGTCTTGTTGGTGCACAAAAAGCCTCCCTTCATCCTGACGATATGTTGCTACTTTCAAACTTTGTGTTATCATCAGAGTCATTTAGGTAAGTAGAATAAATGTTCGTAGGTCTTTAATCCTTGTTATTTTGTCAACTACTCAACTCTAGAGCATCAGAGAGAATATGCTTCGAAGCACATGGGACATCATTGTTCTGTTACAATACCTTCCCTTAGTAATCCTTACTAAGGTAGTCAGAAGCAGTAATGGATTTTGCTTGGATTGTCAATTGGTTTATGCATATTTCTAGCTAAATATTGTTTGGCATATCCTGAAATCCCTAGCATACCAATGGAAGATCCAGTTCAGAAACTTGTTACATCCTATAAGTGATCACCAATTTACGAGTTCTTTTGTTGTTTTACAACCATGTTAAAGATTCTTAACGGCTCAATATTACAATTGATAGGCAGAAATGAATATATCCATAATTCTGAATGTAACACCCCCAACCCGTATCCGACCCGGATTCGAGTCCGAGATGTCACATTGACTTTTCTAACTTTGACTCTTAAAGAAAATCATGAAAATTTTAAACTTTCATTAAAATAAAAGATGTTAATTCACACAAGTTGGACCAAAATAAACAAAATCAATCAGAGCATTAGTAATTCACAATTTCGTTACATGCAACACACTATATACAACCAAATATCTACACTTGACTACAATTCTGATCTGATCTGTGGAAAGGAGAGTTTGACCTGTCTTGCTTCTCTTCACTTCTTTTCTCGCTTTCCAGAACCTACGTGTGAAACACTCGCACGCTAAGTCGATGACTTAGTGAGGCATAAAACATGTTAATCTGAACTCTCTATAATAAATAGTGCATGTATATTTCACAATTCATATAAAAATATAATACAAATATCATATATCAATTCATATAACCCCAATTATAAACATGTACACATATCATCATTATTCTAGTCACACTATTGTCATTATCACTATCATTATTCCATTTAGAACATATAACTAGAGTTTAATCTTTGAAGCACTTCATACTATACTTTTCACAAACCAAAACATATAACATCAAATAACATTTCTTTATATTATTTCTTTGTTTAGCCCATGTACACTTTTGAGAACTATAGGTATGTGAGTACATAGAGGTTGTGTACTATGCTGTCACCACAGCTCGTATAATTCCCACTAGAGGCACTGAATATTTGTCCCGAAGGACCACTATGTCCCGAAAGACCACTGTTAATCCCTCGACTCTTGGCATGCCAACTATACCCGTAGCTCTCATAATACATATCATGGGCATTATCCTTATATTATCATACATTCACATATTCACTTAGTTCACTTACACATAGTTCACTTCCATATGATTCATATGTCACATATTCACTTATTCATATCACATAGGCTCATAGCGTTTTATCATATTATTTACATTCTCTGACTTATTTCTGGTAATCATGTAATCACTGCACTTATTTTCATATAACTTATTGTCACCTAACTCATACATTACATATAGACATCTATATCACTTTCACATAGTTTATATCAACTTCCAAGTCCTTTTAATAACATATTTTCTATCATCTACTTTATGCTTCATTCTTTTGTATTCACTTGGATTACATAATCTATGCTATTTTATAAACATATCCCACTTAATAGTATTTTATTTATATACTAATTTAGTTTATTTACTTAATTCCATTTCTTATATTTCTTATAACCTTTCTACCATCACTTCGTATACAAATTTCCTAATTGATTTACTATTCCTATTTCATTCTATAGTTCAATCCTATTTAGTTTCCCCCATTCTCATTAACTCATCTAATTCTATTATACAATTCCTCATAATTAATCATACCACTATGTAACTTATGTTTCTATATAACTGTTACACATGTTTACCTAATTCCTATTGCTTTTCATGAATTCACTTTCATCATATTCTCCTATTATACATATTTTATATTATGACCATATCTTCAAATAATCTTATACTTCATTATCATATGACTTATATTTTGTCCTATTATGACTCTTCATAGACTTATATTCTCATTTCCATAAATTCCATAAATCTTATCACGTGACTTATCTTTTAGATTCATTTCATATCTATTCTTATATTATCAAATAACTTATGTAAACATATATATATATTACTTATATCGGTTCCTATATCTTATCACTCTAACATATATTCATACAAATCATGCAACACATACAATAACATATTACCCATACACTCATAACAAACACATACTCATGGTCATGAATTCATGCATAATGCTATAGAAAATAGACTTGTCGTAAGTCTTATTTCCATTAAACATCATATATTATCTAATATGCACTCACCTTGGCCTCACTAAGTTTCAAATCCGCTTTATAATTTCCTTTCTTACAATCGAATCTTAACTTGATGATCGTTCTGGAACTTGTTCGTACTCGATATCTACATAATTATACATGGATCCATATCAGTATTCTAATTGATATACTCAAATCTTTCATTCTTTAGACTAAAAGAAAGGTCTATTTCATTTCCCCTTGAAGTGCATCGGTACACACTATAGTGTATCGATGCATTCCTTATCGGGTGTATCGATGCACTACCTATGTATCGGTACACAAATTACATTCGATGTTTTCATTTTAAGGGGTGCATCGATGCACTTCCTGTGCATCGATACACACTGAATAATTTCTGAAAATTTACCCTTGATGCATCGGTACATGTTAAATGTGTACCGATGCACACTAGCCCAAAATTCCAATTTATGCACGAAAATCACTTCCTTTTAGCTTAAATGTTTCATATTTCATCTCCTTTCTTATTCTTAACTTACATACTCATTCTTAAACTCATTTATTCTCATTTATCCCATCTTTATCCTCAAAATCCTATCTTCCAAATGGAATTCAAGAATCATACCAAAATTTTCATGTTATCCAAACTTAATTCTAACACCTATAACTTCTTATTCTTATAGATGACAAGTCAAATTCAACCTCCAAATTCATTTAAACCTTCTTATTCAAAATTTCACTTAAAAACTCTATTTACCTTTTTTTTTATAGAAGTTGGAGGTCTCATTAAAAACTCCCTTCTTATTCGTTCACATACTAAGAAGTATGTTAACGAACATTGGAAGGAAGAAAAGAGTACCTCAAATTATATTAATAATAATACCCAATACAAAAGATTACACGAAATATCCTCCTATGGTGATAAACACCATTACAACAAACACCTTAACCTCATATAACCTCAACCAAAGTCGCAATCTAAACACCTTATTTCTAATTACACCTCCAGTAATAGAATTTAAACAACGCAACAGAACATAATACAAAATAAAAGCAGCACCTGCAACCATATAAACTAAATTAAACCACAAATAGAAAGGCAAAATCTAATTAGATTCGTCTTCTTCAGGAGCCCACGAGTTTGGCTTGAATGAAGGCTCTATCTCATGCACCATGATCTTGAAGGAGTTGTCACCCACCTTCAATTCCAACGTCGCATCAATTCTCGCACCAGCCTTTGCTAGGACTTGAATTTTTGCCCGATCAAGGATGATGGTGACTGACAGCTTTCGTCGATTGCTAGTAACTGACCCCAACTATCAGCAATGTTCTTGAAGGTATCCCAATTCCATGCGTGAAACGTAACACCCTCGCAAACTAACCATACTCGGCGACACTCCAATACCAAACTCTCTGACCAAGCTTCGACTATAGAGAACCACTCTGCGAGAGTCTCTGATTTATCGTTCTTCACACTTCTCAATGAAGCAGAATCTTCGAAAATCATTAATACCGCATTTTCAGCAGCTCTCATTAAGGAGAAGCCAGTGAGGCCCTTCGCATGCATTTGTCTAGCGAGATGACTGATTTTGATGAAATTTTTACACCACCCCACTAGACAATAATTCAACACCTGAAGTTTTTCTTCATCAATAACACCTTCGACTTTATAATGCTTCTTCCTCGAATCATCTTCCATCCCGGACTTGTGGAGAACACCTGTGGAAGACTTTCTCCAATAGGATTGACAAGGTTTGAATTTAGCTAAAGAAACGCCAATTTTGCTGCCGTCGATATAAGAGCCATTCATTTTTGAGGTCGCTCTCCTTGCTTCTTCGATTGAAGCGAATGAAACCAAAACGAACTCCTTTTGCATTTCTTTTATTTGGAATAAAAGCATCAATAACCCGACCATGGGAGCAAAAAAAATGATCCAAGCCTCTTCCAATGGATATTCTCTGGTAAATTTTCAACAAATAATGTGTAGCATCCATACTTATCAAAATTGCACTCCTTTGTGATAGATTCCCTGGTTTCATCGTGGACACCATCAACTGCTGACTTTTCGTCGCAACTCCCAGATTTAAAAGGCACATGTATACTTGGAGATGCTAAGGAGGCTGGATTTGGCAATGGCTGTACTGGAGGAACAGAAGCATCAGAATTAGAAATAATACCTCTTTTAACAACAAGATTCTTCCTTGCCATCTCAATGTGCAAAAGAGACTTCAACTTAGAATCAAAAACCATTTTCTGGAGAGCATCCTTGGCAGCAACTGCAAATTCTGCATTTGAGAAGAGAGCGAAACCCTTAGGCTTTTCTCCTTTATAACTCAAATGAGAATCTTCAAAGCCTGGAAGCCATCTCAGAAGATTCTGCAGCTCTCTCTCTTTGACATCTACAGGCAGACCCATAATGAAGATGGTACGAACCTCCTCAAAATGAGAAGGGAGAGATGACAGAGAAAGCGAGTCTGCAGAGGACAGAAGGGAGGATTCCAGCACCCCGCATGAAGAAAATCGTTGAAGTAAAAACAACCTAGGGACTTGACGGAACTGTTCTGTTAGCGCCCAGCGATGGAAGCTGTGATTGTCGACGATGGAGGCTATGACTGCCGGCGATGGAGGTTGTGACTGCTGGCGAAAAAAGAAGGGAGTAGGTGATGAATAGAGTCCAACATGTAGATATAGGACCTGAAGACAGATGAACTTCGTAGTTATCCCGACAAAAAACTAAAACACGAAAAACGCCATGGGTCTGGAAGATAGGAAAAAAATTGTAATGTTCGCAAGAAAAAAGCCAGCCCAGCGGGAAGAAGATGTATAGGCGATGAGACGCTGGCAAAACGGAAACCAAGGCATAAAGATCTTTAACGGAGAAGAAGATGTGTCGCCAACAACTGAAAGCCGAAGGTCCTCGTCTAAGATCTATTGAGTTGAAGGCTCACCCTGACGTAATGATGCCTAGAACCGAGATGATGGCGCCGAGACGAAAAAACCTGGAAAATTTGGTGGTCAACAGCCACCGGATGTGGCGGCCAACGCGGTGACAAACGGCGGCGGTGGGTGGCGGACGGCGGCGGCGGACAACGAATGAATGTCGGAGGGGAGAATAAATTTCAAAAACGCCTGGGATATTTGAAATTTGAAAAACACCTAGTTTAGAGAGAAGCTAGAGCTTCTCTCCTAACATCTTCGTCTTTGAGTTTTTACTTATCTTTAGACTTCCTTAAGCTTTCTTACTATCCAAAGAATCGAAACCAACTTAGAATTCAAATAATAATCAACTAATAAAAACTCTCACCTTTGCCTTGAGCTCCCACGTATGAAGAAGAAGGAGAAGAGGAGGTTTCTGGAAGCTTGGATATTTCTTCCTCTCATCCACGTGGCTACTCCCTTAAAAAGGAAAGAATAAAAATCTTTCCTTGCCAAATGACCTTTTTACCCTTCATCTCTTTTCATATTTACCAATCAATCCTCTAGAATAAAATTCTCTATAATTCCTTGAACTTTTAACTTATTTCGAAATCGTGCACAAAATTTGCAATTTAGTCATTGATCCTGATTTGGGATGTTACACTGAACTTAACTGAGTGCTAATTCATTGTGCAATTCTCTCCGAGTCTCTTCACTTCTTTTATTCTCTTTTTTCTCCTCTTCTGTTATGATGTTGCAGAGTTAGCATTGTGTTTATGCTGATGATTTCATGGACTTTTTTGTTCTTATGAGATCTACATGGTTTATGCAGGACATCAGAATCGTTCTTGCCAATTTGTTTACCAAGATATAATCCTATGGCATTTTTGTATGCTTATGTGCATTTTCTTGATGTGAGTGAATCCTGCTTCAGAGTATATTAACTTTATGCATCTTTTATAACATACAATGATGTCATATTTTTGCTCTATATCGGCCATGCCTATAGCAGCGGATGATAAATCTTATTTCTTGTGACAGGTCAATACATACTTGATGTTGCTTACTACCAGTTCAGATGCCTTCTATCACCTTAAAGAATGCAAGTAAGCTATAGTTTCCTAATTTGATCCTTATGATATAGTGAACTTCTGGTATGAAATCCCTAATGTCTACATCAATTGACTGCACACATTTTAGTATGACCCATATCCATCATACAAATCAGAAATATAGCCATATACCCATGCCTTACCGAGGAAGTACATATTATTTCTGTGTCAAAATATTAGCGTTCATTTTCTTATGTTCTAGACCATTGAGAAGTTTCACTGAAATTTTATAGGATTAGCATAGAAGCGGTTCTTTTGAAGTCCAACGTTCTTAGTGAAGTTCAAAGGTCAATGATAGATGGTGGAATGCGTGTTGTCGATTTGCCAGTCGATTCATTGCCTCGATCGGGTTCATCTCCTCATCTTGGCAAGCAAAGACTTACATCAGATTCTCCTGAGATGCCTAGGGAACCATTTGTTGGCATCGGTGGTCCTGCTGGACTTTGGCATTTCATTTATCGTAGTATATACCTGGATCAATATGTGTCCTCCGAGTTCTCACCACCACTTAACAGTCTCCGGCAACAGAAAAGGTAAAACTCTGAATCTTGTATCAATTCAATTGAAACTTCTTTCATACTGAGTGCATATCATATATTCATCGCTGTGGTTAGTATAATAACTGATTATGTCGTGCAGATTATATAGAGCTTACCAAAGACTGTATGCTTCCATGCACGATAAAGGAATTGGGCCACATAAAACTCAGTTTAGAAGAGATGAAAACTATGGCAATTCTCTCTTCCTCCCCCTAATATTAACGTTAACTCTTTATTTATTTATTGGAAGTTGACATTTTTTAATTTTTCTGTCTGAATGTCTTTTCTGCAATTGATACTTTTGCTTTCTTAATATTCTGTTAGTGGGACAACAGTTGCTCATGAGTTTTTATGAAAAGGTTTTTGTTTTATAGCCTTCATAGAATTAATATGATTACATTTTTCTGTCAGTTTTACTCTGCTGGGTCACACAAGATTTTGAATTCTATGCAGCATTTGATCCACTTGCAGACAAGGTTTGTTTCAGCATATATACTTAAATCATTTATTGTGTTCAAAGCTCAAATCTTGTCTTAAATACACACTGAATACTTCCTGTAAAGAACTTCAAAGTTTCATTTATGTTGATGTGCAGGCTCTAGCAATAAAGACTTGCAACCGGGTTTGTCAATCGGTAAAAGATGTGGAAAATGAGATTTTTTTGCATGGAGCAAGCCCCTTTTCATGGTGACAAGTCAACCATGTAATACAAAATGTATTGTAGTTTTGGTTGTTTGCACACTCATAGCAACTTCTTCGGGGCCAACACTTTTTTCCCTCCTACGTTCATGATACCTATATTTAGTTACCAAATGTATGATCCACCTTGAAGGGTTTTTTTTTTAAGTAAGATGCTAAACTATGAGTACTCTGTTTTGTTCGAACTGAGGCGTATTTTGTATTAGTATGGTATGGATGACAAATAAAGGTGACAAAGTAGTTTTTTGTATGCCCTTTGTTGTAGGATTACTTTGTTATTTTATTTCTTTGCCATGTTTGAGCCATTTTTTATTTTCTATTCCTCTTTGTAATTTTTGCTCTGTATTTTTCCCATGGAATTCATCTAGAGAGTGCCATCTGAAGTGATGTAAGTTTAAGAATGCTTCAACTGATATGCTCCTATTAGCAGTTCAGCATCGCAGTTAATGCTTCATTATTGTTGATGTGAGCTTGCGAGAATATGAACCGAATGCACGAGTTTTGATGAGGCATGTCTTCCAATAATCCATCTTCTAACAGGGGTATGTAAAACTATCCATGGGTTTCCTGTTAGTTATCTATGTACCTAGTCTTAGGTGAGTTTGACTTGCAGTTTCGAATGTAGAGAGTAATTGCAATCAATTTCTGGTGTTGGTTTTACAGGCACTACGCCTTGTATCTGCAGGTAATAAAGAGAGAATGGTCAGAGAGCTGTAAAAGGTTCCTTCATTGAAGCAGTGAAGGAGATAAAACCAAAAACGTTTTTAATGGGGCAATGACCATCCTATGAATTGAATTTATTGAAGGTCAGTAAACTAAATGCCCACTTTCTGCCACGATTCAGTGTTGCCGAATTATTTACTATTTATCTCTTGACCTTGCATTATTATGAAAAACGAGCACAAATTAATTCCATGATTTGCATTGCATTTATTATTAGGTTTGCCTCTGTTTCCCTGTTTTGTTTGTTCATTTTATAGAGAAAATTCCTTAGGACCTATTTGAACTATAAACAATTATACGTTTATATATATATAAACACTTTCTTTTGCCTCTAAATTGTGCTCTTCTATTTCCCTAATGGGTTTTGCTATGATATATAAAACAGTTTTTGGATTGATAGATTAATTTCTTTTGATTATGAAAACCATCTATTTTTTGTTTATATTTTTACTTCTTTACTTGCTATAATAATAATATAATAATAACTTGATTGGATCTGGTTGGATGATGTGATTTACTGGTAGTGTTGACTGTTGAGGCTTTTTAGTAATGTAGATTCAATCTCTGACAATTTTAATACTCTTAGCATTACAATAAATCACATATCTAAAATAATAGTATCTTTTGAAACGTACAAGATTATTTGAACCGTCTCTTAAATAGAAGACCGTGTTTGGTGCTTCATTTAATGCAAAGAATTAATTAAACCCCTACTTCTTCAAACAAACAAAATGATGTTTATTTTACCCCCAAAAAATGCCCATTTTATTTCTCTCCATTGTAGATTCGTCAAAAGTTATTTTCTTTTTTATAAAAGAAAGAAGTTCATCCTTAGAAATCTTTGGTGGCATTTTTATTATTTGAAATTAGTCAAACTTCATCAATTACGGAGATTATTACTGCTTTGTTAATTAAAAGTTTGTTCCCCACTTGCATTGTTCGTGGTAATGAAGTCTCGGTACTACCTCATTATATTTGGTGGAAAGTTCATTAACTCCCTCCTTGTATTTGCATCCTTGGATAGGATTCTCTGATTTATGTAGGTGCTATGAGTTCATAATTGAAGTAGTCAACAATTGATTTTATTATTTAAAGGAGATTGTGACTTCAAGAAAGTCATTTACTAAAGGCAAAGAGTCCACTTGTTCAAAAATAAATTTTCAGTGTTTTGTTTGATAGAAGTATTATTATTATATTTTAACAAATTGTTTTCAAACTCGTATAATAATTAAAAATTTTCCATATGCTATTATTTGTGTACCAAATGTAGCATAGAATATATTATGACAAGGTAACACAAATTTAATCATCTATCCTGAACATTTCAGATGTTATGTTTTATTTTCATGCTACATAATCGACTCGTATTTCAAATCACCTTCTACCCAAAATGAAATATTGGGGAGGCCACCGCATATCCATGGAAAATCCAGGAATAGTTTGATTCACTCGACGCGTGCAGCTTTGCAAATGACCTTTAATTAAAGAAGACGTGATTAACGACAATAATTAATGTGATATAAACACTATTGATGTATGCTTTTATTTTATTTATTCCAAAATTTATTCACCGCAAACCAAGTAATAACATAAACTGTAATTAAAATATATATTAATCAATCTTACTTGATATTATTAAAGTAATACTAACGCTTAAGATTAAAAAACTAAAATTTTGATTAAAAAGGTCACATGGATGCAGTTTAACGTTTCAGACTTTCAGATGACTTTAGTGATACAAAAATTTAGAAAGAAAGAACAAAATAAATAACTTCCCGTGAAAATACACGTCTGGCTAAAATTCAAAAAACAACCCCCTCCTCGTGACAGACTTAACCTCGTCTTTTTCCTCTTCGTATATTTGTTCACCCAATGCAAAACCCCTGATAACCTTGATCTTTACGGACCCATTTTCTATCTCAATCTGTGTAGTATCTCAGTTCGCCATCCTGTTCAACTTCAACCTGAACAAGGATTTAAACTCTGATAAAGAAAAATTAAGAAGCACAAAACAAAAACAGCGTGGAATAAAATAAATTAAGAGAGAGATGTACAAGAACCAGCTGCAAGAGCTGGCCCAGAGGAGCTGGTTAATCTTCCTTCCTACGCCTGCATTAGGGAGGGTCCAGACCACGCTCCGAGGTTCAAAGCCACCGTTAACTTTAACGGTGAAACCTTTGAGAGTCCTCACTACTGTTCTACTCTCCGTCAAGCCGAACACTCCGCCGCCGAAGTCTCCCTCCATTCCCTCTCTATTCGTGGACCTTCTCTCTCTCTGGCTGCCAGGGTCCTAGTAAGTTTTTCACAGCTTTTATTTTTTATAACGTGCACCTCATATGTTTAAGGCTCAAATTTAAGGGAGGGGAGGTTTTGGGCTGAGTAGACCCGTGGGGAGTAATCGGGAGTAAACCATGATCGCCGGAGCTTGAATTCAGGTGGTTGCGGGGAAGAAGAGAGTGGAAATCACTGGAATGCCCTTTAACGGTTAATGAACTATAAAAGTAGTAACACTTTATGACTTGTTTAGGTAGGCGAAAGAAAATTTTAATTTTGTTATCATATTTTTAGAAACAGCTGTACTTTGATTACCTGGTTTTTGTTGGTGTAATTAATGCTTAATCATGGATATAAACGTTTTTTCCCTGCTGTCACGGTTCAGTTATTTTGGATTGTCAAGGTTTCCTTTTAACATACTCATTTGCTTGTCAAATTAAGAGAAACTGGTCATTTTTCTTTGGCAAATGAATAACTAAAGGTGTCACCTTTAGAATTACTTGTAGACTTAATCTTAGCAAATAGAGCTACGGGATTAACATACTGCAGTTGTAGAAGTTAACCTCACCGCCTTTTACTTGTAATATCAAGACTCAACCTTATTGAGAGTGAAAATTTATGTGAATACACGTAAGCCAATTAGAATGATGGCCCGGACTTCTATCTGATTATGCATATAGACAAGTATGATACACATTTTAGATAATCATCTCATGCAATATTTGTAACTGCAGTTGAGATACTTTTGTCTACTATCGGTGGCCCTTTTTGGTAGTTTTATGACTTTTTAAATTTTAAGTCGCTTAAGCCTTTCTTGTTTCCATCCTAGTTAGGATGCTCGATTCTCACATCCCGTTAGAAGTAGTTTATAAAGAATTGTGTATCCAGCTTGCATATTCATACTGTCAAATCTGTGGGTGAACTTGTGCAGATTAATGCACCTTCCTTAAATTGCTGTAATTCTTATCAAGTTCAATGGTGTAATTCCTGCTTCATAAGAAGCTTTCAAATTTAAGAGATTGAGAGGTTCTGATTTTTTTTTTTTGTATTTACATCTGTAAACTTCTTGAATATGTCCTTTCTAGTTGTCTGTAATTTGTTGGGGTTGATATTGATCTGGCTTCATTACGTTAGGATGAGACAGGGGTTTATAAAAACCTCTTACAGGAAATTTCGCAAAGAGTCGGAGCTCCATTGCCGTATTATACAACATTTAGATCAGGCCTCGGGCACCAACCTGTCTTTACGGGAACAGTTGAATTGACTGGAATCACTTTCACAGGGGAACCTGCTAAGAAAAAGAAACAAACAGAAAAGAATGCTGCTATGGCAGCTTGGACATCTCTAAAACATTGTGAGTCAATGTTTCATTGTTATTATTTATTTTATTTTTTTTGGATATGTAGGAATGGTGAAATAGGTAATATGCATTTTGTTGTGAGGTTAGGAGTCTTTGTGCCTAGACTGAATAATATCTTTATTTTCAGTGGCCAAAGAAACCGCAAGTTCTTCAGAGCCGGAAAACAATGATGAGCTTGAACAGATCATAATAGCTCGGGCACTGTCAAATTACCGAGCTAAGGAAAAGATGGCTATTGGAAACTCCTCCAGTGCCTCAATACCATTTACAAAGAAGTTTCCTATACAGAATCCTAGACCAAGTCAACAACCTTCCTCTACCACCTCTAAAATCCTTTCTCTAATCTGCAATAAGGTTGTTCCTCAAAGTCAATTCATGTCAGCAACACCGAATGACAAGCCCGTACTTCCACCATTGCAAGTACCTGCACCGAAAAGCCATGTGGTTCGTCCACAGAAATTCCCTGCAGCTGAGGCAGCTCCTTATGTCCCCATCCGACAATCTAGGACACCTTGCCATGGCATTGCTCCGCCTGTGACAATTCAATGCCTGTTTTCTCTGCACCTCCACGACTACCTTCATCTGCTGCATCCCTTCAACCACCAGCATTGCAAGTTCCTTCTCAGCAATTACCATCTATACTCCGAACCCAAGTGACACGAGCACCATCCATATGTATTGCTCCGCCTGTCACCATTAGGCAAGTAGTTCCAGTATTTGCCACAGCACCAGTGCAAAAAGATCTTCCGACTGCTAATCCTTCTCCACCGCCCAACAAATCTCATGATCAAGTGGAGAATGCTGCAAGCAAAAATACAGAGAACCTGCAAGAAGTTGAGACAATACAGATTTTAGAACTCAAAATCTGATGGCAGTGAAAGAGCAAATTGCAA